TCATGATCAACTGGTCACATGACCGTCAACATCATGATCAACTGGTCACATGACCGTCAACGTCATGATCAACTGGTCACATGACCGTCAACGTCATGATCAACTGGTCACAGAGTTAGAAATCTTCATCTATAACTATTTTTGTAACAAAACTGTCACCATACAAGCCCTAAAACAATTTACACAGACCAGCATTGTCACTATTGTCTCTATTTTTTCCTTTCCAGATAACTGATGACTTGATAAGATATTAATCTGGTCTGTGAAGCTTGTATCTTGGATTAAATCCTGTGAGGTTGAATTGATCTCTTACCTTCTGACTGAGTTATAAGGACAGTAGCCTGAAGCTGACTTACCTACTGACTGAACTATATATAAGGACAGTAGCCTGAAGCTGACTTACCTTCTGACTGAGGTATAAGGACTGTAGCCTGAAGCTGACTTACCTACTGACTGAGCTATAAGGACAGTAGCCTAAAGTTGACTTACCTACTGACTGAGCTATAAGGACAGTAGCCTAAAGTTGACTTACCTTCTGACTGAGCTATAAGGACAGTAGCTAGCCTGAAGCTGTCTTACCTTCTGACTGAGCTATAAGGACAGTAGCCTGAAGTTGACTTACCTTCTGACTGAGCTATAAGGACAGTAGCCTGAAGCTGACTTACCTACTGACTGAGCTATAAGGACTGTAGCCTGAAGCTGACTTACCTTCTGACTGAGCTGTAAGGAGTAGTCTGAAGCTGACTTACCTTCTGACTGAGCTATAAGGACAGTAGCCTGAAGCTGACTTACCTTCTGACTGAGTTATAAGGACAGTAGCCTGAAGCTGACTTACCTACTGACTGAGCTATAAGGACTGTAGCCTGAAGCCGACTTACCTTCTGACTGAGCTATAAGGAGTAGTCTGAAGCTGACTTACCTTCTGACTGAGCTATAAGGACAGTAGCCTGAAGCTGCCACATTGGATCCTCTGCCTCTTCAGCTGCTGTCAGTGACTTCTCTCCGTAATCTCTTGCTTTTTCAAATTTATTAATTTCTAAATAACAGCGACCAATTTCATGATACAACCATGTGCTTTCTAATGCTGATTTAGATATTGGAAGTTTTTGTTCCCATCTGTAATGTAAAAAGTATATGTAATTGTATTCATTTTGATTTACATAATGACTCTATATATATAATATATATAAAATTAAAATAATGACTTGGCTATTTTTGATATTTTCACAACAAAAATCTTATAAAAAACATCATCCTATATATTTTGATAACTAATACGGTTGGAAATTTTCATAAAAAAAGTGTAATAGTACATAAAATTTGATTTGAGCTTGTTATATAACAATTCATAAACATACTAATCATTACAGGATCACTTGATCACATTATGCAACCAAGGTCAATAAAAGTATCATGAATCACTGGTAATCTTAAACTAGGAGCAGAATCCTGCCCCATTAGAGCAAAATAATGGAATAGCCTTCAGAGATCCATAGTGGACATCTGCCAACTAAGATAATGTATTTAAAAAAATACTCAAAATAATGAACAAAATAATGATATTAATATACAACATTTGATATAGCGCCCTATCTAGCTAACATAAGCCACTCTAAAGCGCTTTACAGTACATAGACATACAAGTAATACAATTAGCATATATACATTAATTAATTCAATTATGAGGAATTCGCAGGAGCTGCCTTATCAGGCGCTAACTACTAGTCCTATGCCACCTGGCTAATATCTCCCTATGTGTGTATGCCTGCGTATGTGCTGGAGATGTATTGTGTTCTGTTTGTAGTGGGACCGTGCTTCCAACGGCATCTTTTACAGTGCCACCTTACTTGAATGCTACAGCACAGATACCGCAACATCAACATGAACTAATATATATAATTGTCACTAATCAATTCAAGCTTTATTTCACTAACATACATGTAGAAAAATTAGCCAATAATGCTAAAACTGTTTTGAAGATAAAATGTCTCGCATAATTAGGTCAGAACATGAACAGATATAACAACTTTTAATAGCGTGAGCGGAGTTATTAGAGATAACTTACACATCAATGGCTTTTTGGTAGTTGCCGTGTCTTGCGTTGACTCGACCCAAGTTATCTAACCCTCTGGATTTGGCTTCTTCCAGATTACTGAAAAAATATAATACCACATTATTTGTTTTTAACCTAAATATAATTTAAGCTTTGTTTTTAATTTTTCTTTTAAATCAATAAATAAATTTACAAACAAAATAGTTATATATATATGACTTACCTTGATTTGATTTGCTTTAAACATTTGACAATTCTTATTTGTGAACATTTAAAATTTGTTTTAATTTTAAGTTTTTTGCAAATGAACATAAGCTATTATGCATGAATCTGTTGTTTAAATATTCATAACAAACGTATAATTTGACGATACCAAACAAGAATTACAAAATTTTGTTTAAAATCAATATACACCATACATGTATGATATTTGTACACGACTCTCATCATGAACAAACTTGAAAGTTCAAATATCTCGACACTATACATGAATGATTGATCATAATCACAAATTAGATAACACTGACTGTGAGTCTCCCTAATTAGACAATACTGACTGATAATCTCACTAATTAGACAATACTGACTGTGAGTCTCACTAATTAGATGATACTGGCTGTGAGTCTCACTCATTAGACAATACTGAATGTGAGTCTCACTAATTAGATAATACTGGTTGTGACTCTCGCTCATTAGATACTACTGAATGTCAGTCTCACTAATTAGATAATACTGGCTGTGAGTCTTGCTCATTAGATACTACTGAATGTGAGTCTCACTTATTACACAATACTGACTGAGTCTCACTAATTAGACAATACTGATTGAGTCTCACTAATTAGACAATACTGACTGTGAGTCTCACTAATTATCACTAATTAGACAATACTGACTGTGAGTCTCACTAATTATCACTAATTAGACAATACTGACTGTGAGTCTCACTAATTAGACAATACTGAATGTGAGTCTCACTAATAAGATAATACTGGATGTGAATCTCACTAATTAGACAATACTGACTATGAGTCTCACTAATTAGACAATACTGACTGGGAGTCTCACTAATTAGAGAATACTGACTGAGTCTCACTAATTAGACAATACTGACTGTGCGTCTCCCATGTTGTAGTCTAGCTGGTGGTGTTCCAAAGCTTTGTCAAACTGTCCCATCTCTAGGTAGGCATTGCCGATACAGCTGTGTAGGTTAGCGATCACCTCTAGTTTGTTAGGTACTTGATCTTCTGTAAAGTTCTCCACTGTACTCAGGCATCTTTGAGCTTTCTTTAAACTTTCTTGGTACTTTCCTTCAATTTGTGCTAAAATCATAATTATATTTCTTTGAAAAGTTAACACCCTCAATAAACTCATGATTTTCCCTACAAAACCGTCATGTAAACATCCAATATCTTAGATTGATAGCTAAATTCTACAAAATTGATTTTAGCAAACACTGGTGATAAATAAAAATGAAATACATGGGTAGGAAAAGCGTTGAATGGAACAATGGTTAAAGGACTACACACATGGTGACCCTATACTAACAATTCTCTCTTTGCTTTAGTTTTCTGAACATGCAGTCCTTAGGCAACACTTGCATAATGGCCTACCCTATTCGCTCTAGTTCTGACGATGTTGTTAGGTGACACTTACCTAGGTCTATTCGCTCTAGTTCTGACGATGTCGTTAGGTCACACTTACCTTGGTCTATTCGCTCTAGTTCTGACGATGTTGTTAGGTGACACTTACCTAGGTCTATTCGCTCTAGTTCTCTGATGATGTAGTCGTTGGGTGAGAGTTTTCCTGTGTTCGACTCAAACCGGTGCCTTTGCATGATCTTTTCGTGTCTACGAGCGTACATTGGTTTCTGTTGGCGCCAGAAGTCTGTGCGTGTGTCGAGGTACATCAATCCCTCCTCTACCAGGTTGGATATCGTCTTACCCATGTTTGTGTTGGGATCTGCAATAAAAAAAAAATCAAATTTCATATTGTAGATCACTTATTTTTCTTAAGTGACCAATTTATTTTTGTAGTATTTGTTAAATAAAAAAAGTTGTGAAGTATTAACCCTACGAAGGTAGTGCTGATGTGACAGAGGTCATTATTTGTTCAGTGCTTCCACTAGGAATTCAAAACCATGATGCCTTATTTACTAAATCAAAATCACCCTCAGTCCCAATGAACCGGCCTCCTGACCTTCTTCATTGGCAAAAGTCAACGATGAATTCAAGTTACATCCATCTTAATTGTTTCTTCAGGAGTAACTGGAACTCATTAATTGTTGACTTTCTCCCTTAAAGGAGACCTGGAGGCCAAAATATTGGGACTAAGAGTGACAATTGATTTATCGTTTATCTTTTCCCCCTTTTGAAATCAACTTGACAATTGCTTTATCGTTTATCTTTTCCCCCTATTGAAATCAACTGTTGTTTCTTTCTTGCTAGTCTGACGCTCTACTGATTGAGTTTTAAAAAGAGAAATTCTTTCTAGCAAAGCCAGGAAGAAGCTGGTAGCATTTTATCAAGGTGACACCTACATTTCTTAAAGATTTACAATTCATACATTTCACAAATACAACACGAAGCATCACAAACATTTTTTGTATGTCTATTCTTACGATTTAGTTTTAGTTTTACCTGTTTCTTTTAGAAGCCTCTCAAGGTACTGTCTGTCGCCATATAACTCCCCGAGGAGCTGTTTGATGGTTTTCTCGTTACCGGGTGATCTGTTGAGGTCAAACTTCCTTCTTCTAATAGGCGCTTGAGCCAGAGAACGTCCCATACTATAACCTCCTCCTCGCTTGGGGAGTCGCTTCTGTAATACACAGCCAGACAAATGATACTTAAAACTCTCAAGTCAAATGATACTTAGAATTCTCCATACTATTTCTTTCAGTGTGAGTTTTTTCATATTTTTTAATATGTGTGATCTCAAACAGACAATTTCATTGATTTTATTATGCAAAGAAACATGTAGTTGTTTGTTTCTATTGGATATGAAGAACATGTTGATCGCTGTCAAGTTTATTAATTATAAATAATATTTGATCTAATAATCATCAGTGCACTTTGCACATGTTTACAAAACTAGAAAATGTCTGCAACACATAAATGCCCCAACTCTCACCCAAATCAACATATTTCTTTTGACAATTTCCTTAAATAATAATAGTGAACCTAGCACTGGCCTTAGAAATCTGAAACACAAACTGAAACTAGTTATTCACATACTTATCTTTGTATAATTAGTGTGACTAAAATCTGTCAGTTTCTAGACATTGAATCAGAACAGGTCAGCTGTGATCGGACAGAACAAAAATTGACACACTCCGCTGACATGGGTAGCCTCTATAGACTATACATGTATGAATGTCCCTAATCTCAATATAATGACAGGAGAATAGAATTTTAACAAAATATTGAAAACTACACATTTAAGCAATGAGCTGAAAAGTTGACTTTCTTACCTCATCCTGTTTCTGAAAGAAGGTAAGGTCACCTTCTGTGGTCAGCTGGACTTTGTCTGGGGCTAAACAAAAATATTTTCCATTTTAAATATTCATTCATTTAGTGTAGATCCAAATTGCATTAAGACGCATTCAAATAGCACAACATTTTTGTCTGTTAGACATTTTTGAAACTCATAAAAGAAGAATTTTTCTTTCAGACAATATTTTCTAACATTTCATCTTTACAATGATACAATAACATGCTATGTGAGAAAAATGCTACTGCAGTAAAAGTTTACCCAGCAAATTTTCCTTAACCTGAGTATAAATTGTGTCCTTATTTTCAATTTTGACAAAGTATTTATTCAGAACGACATCATGATTTGCTATATTAATCAAATGATGGCTAGTAAGCTGGTCTTTATGATAACTTCTACACAACTCACATCCTACAGAGTTGTCGATGGCTTCCTGGGCCTTCTGAATGCCCAGACGGAACTCCTGCAGCTCCGGTCTTAGTTTATGTCCTCTGTGGTAAAAGACGAGAGCCATTTCGAAATCGCCCTGGTAGTAGAGGGCCTGGGCCTTCTGGTACACACCCTGTAAAGTCCCATAACAAAAAGTGAACAACAACAGCAGCAGACCTAATCATGCAATGCATCATATGAAAAGTATTTTATGAAGCTATATGAACTGGGCCCACTTGTATAAAACATCTCAACTCTTGAGATTTCCTCAAGCCTAAGATTTCCCATAGACAATACATTGCTTGAGATTTTCCTTAACTTTGAGATGTTTTATACAAGTGGGTCCTGTTGTGTAAATATTGATTTTCAAAATCTAGATTCCTGACCAGGTGGAAGTTACTAATACTAGGATCTTAATAGTAGTATTAATTAATTCATTGTGTGGAATAAGATATCTAGTTTCAAATCAAAGGGTTCTCAGTTTCTACCTGACCTCAATATGTATAGTCAATATATATATATATCCAAAACTTTTTCAATTAACTTTTATGTTAATGACATTTGTTGCATATGTAGCATATATATATAGCACCAACATGTGATCAAGATTAAACTAATAAACGTACCCACTTGAGGAAGTAAATGTACAAGATTATTAGCCAAATCGAAGCCTGAAAATATTTTTTATTGTTATAGTACCTTTCTTTACAATTTTACTATAGAAAGTTGGACCTTCTTTGGTGCTAGAAAAATTAACAGGATGGTTCTATATATTTTCAATAGTGAAATTATACATGTACCGCTGAAAATCAATAGGAATCTATCTACATATCCTAAGAAATTCCCAATGTTGAAGAAAGGTAAATATATGGAAAGATATTTTGAAAAGGTTGATACAAAGTTGAAGCCTGATGTACATATCCTATTTATATATAATTATAAGTCAATAGGGTTATTGTGTGCATCCCCTTGGTTCAATAGTGGTATCAATTAAGGTATATACCAAAGAATTATGAATAAAATTGTGTACGTGCTTATACCTTGTGGTATACAAGGTGTCTTTACTCAACTTACTAAACTACAACAATATAAATGTACATGTTATATACCTTGTGGTATACAAGGTGTCTTTACTCAACTTACTAAACTACAACACTATAAATGTACATGTTATATACCTTGTGGTATCCAAAGGTGTCTTTACTCAACTTACTAAACTACAACACTATAAATGTACATGTGTATACCTTGTGGTATACAAGGTGTCTCTACTCAACTTACTAAACTACAACACTATAAATGTATATGTTATATACCTTGTGGTATCCAAAGGTGTCTTTACTCAATTTACATAACTACAACACTATAAATGTACATGTGTATACCTTGTGGTATACAAGGTGTCTTTACTAAACTTACTAAATGATAATACTATAAATGTACATGTGTATACCTTGTGGAAAGTTTTGTCATCACTAAGTGATGTTTCAGCATCAAGCAAAGCACTGGCAGTGTCTCCAAGTTGTAGATGACATTTTGATCTGGCTACCAAAGTATTTTTCTCATTTGGCTGTAGCTCCAACGCCTTTTGGGGAAAAGAAAGAAAGAAAGAATTTTGAAGTTGATGACCTTGCACAAAGGAAATCATAGCAATTTTAAACTTTTGGTTAAAAGGTACAAATTCTATCGACCACTACAATCTGTCATAAATGTAATTAATGGTTCAGAAATTGTGACATCAAAATGGTTGATCTACCTATACATTGCATGCAAATTCTGTCTCTTGACAATAATTGAAACATATATATAATAGGCACATGTACAGCATATTCAGCAAAACATGGATTCACTTTCCCCTTCAAATTCAACAGCCAATACAATAGAATTCAATAGAACGAGACACTTTTACTGTTAGTACTGTATTTCATTCAAGCTTACAAACTTAAGCTTACACACCTTGCTTTTAGGATATATATGTCAAGCCAGCCTACAGTGCCTCAATAAAATGTTTGCTAAGAATTACATATCCCTACTGTAACTGTAAATACACCAGTAAATTATAAGTCCTTTGAAAACGCTCGTAGAATAAGTGAAAAAACGTCGGATATATTCTGATACAGCAACAAACAATACAAAATCCTGTTCTAAAAGTCAACACGGATTAAGACAATCGTCAAAAAATAGAGAGAGATAAACGCATGTAAAGATATATACATTATTCCAATCATTAATGAACTTCCAAACATTACATCAACAACGGTTCCACTACAGTAGACCCGTTACTGTATTGGTATCGTATAAGAACTGTAAACATTCACAAACTTTTTAGAGAAACTTACTGTCGTGTAACTTTCAATAGATTTTCTATATTCTCCTTGTTTGTATAGAGTGTCTGCCTCAGCTTTGTATATTTCAAAAGTTCCTTTCGGACCCTCAGATTCATCGCCGTCGTACATCTTGATGCTTGATTGTAACTTTCACACTTTCAGACTAATGGATACGGGTCCCTCTTCCGGTATTTTCCCTAGCAACGAAGCCTCGATACTAGGCGCCACCTAGCGTCAAAGTGAATAATAACCAAAGTTTCGTAGGCGGTAAGTTTTAGATTACCATAGGATCGGTTTTGTTTGATCTTGAGTTTGATCATTTACAATGTAAAACATTATTTTATAAAAAATGAAAACAATATTGATCAAAATATAGAAATAAAACAAAAATAAATGAACTGAAAATACCTGAAAGGTATGTTAGAAAAGACCAGCTTCGTCCGCTAATCCGTAATCTAATCCGGATCAGTGGCGGCTTACTTATAAATGTCCACGGATATAAAACCGTACACAGACATATGATTTTGTACTGATTTTAATGTTAGTACATTGCTTACAGTTTGGGCTTTTAGAATAAATAATTTAAGAATTTCGTTTTTAAAGATAAAGTTAGGACCGTACGTCCCGCTGTTCAGTGGTCCGGCAGTGGTTGTTCCAACGTAAGTCGTAACCGGTTTATTAAAGCTAACCTTTACCTACTGGTAAACTAGTTCTATATTATATATATATATACAACGTTAGGCTACAAATTTACATATAGGCCTAATAAAATGGGATCAAAACAATGCCCGTACTTTTTATATTTTCATGTTTGTAAAGGGATAGATGGTTTAAATTTATCATATAGCCAAATTTATTATTATATAGCCAAATTTTAGTTTAAATTTATCATATAGCCAAATTATCAAATTTACATATAGGCCTAATAAAATGGGATCAAAACAATGCCCGTACTTTTTATATTTTCAAGTTTGTAAAGGGATAGATGGTTTAAATCATAGGCCAGTCAATCTAAAACCGTTCATTTTTTACGGATTATCTAACAAATATTCTAGACTAAATGAGCTGTTTTAAGTGCTTTATTTATTTTTATTGATGTGTTTCTTTATTTTTGAACACGACTACTACCCATGAGAATGATGTATCTCAGTAGACAGCATGTGGCTTTTAAATTGCTTTCCAAGTGATAAACTCTTGTTTCTGTGCTTACAGCATGTATCATGTTTATTAATTGTTTCATGCTGTAATGTCTTTTTTGTCTCTGTTATTATACTCATGTTTTGTCGAAATACAAGCTCTTTGAAGCTTATGGTGTATGTTTTGCAAAATCGACGGAAAATAAATATTTTTGTATCTTGTATTCTTGAAAGAAATGCATCACTGTCCACGCCGTCCTAGAACCACACAGGTGGTAGACCTGTAGTCAGGCGCGGATTTAGGGGGGGGGGGGGGGGGGGGGCCNCCCGTATGATAATTTTAAATTAAATATAAAGGTTACGCGTATGTGCCTCCTAAGTTGTACCATTTTAACCAAATAGTTTAGCAAATGTACCACTGTTGGTAATATGCACGCCCTTACACGAGTTAATCAGTGTGGACATGCTGTTGATAGATAATTTGAACCGAAACTATAATTTTCTTTCCAGTACACAAAAAAAGTCTTTGGGCCATATACAGTATTCAAGATATGTTTTTTGTTTTTTTTTCTTCTTGTTAATTAAACATAAAAACAATCCTCAGAACACGGGAAATCGCTTCTGAGACGTTCTAGAAAACACAGTTTTTTGGGGGGAGATCCCCCAAACTCCCCTTACGGGAGGGGGATTACCCCCTCCCGTACCATCCCCCTACTCGCGCTACGCTTCGGCAGCNACGTTATGCTATTACAATTACAAATTTACACTTCTACGAAGATCTACAATAACAGTTATAAGTAAAAGATACAGTTATCTTTACATTTCTAATATATCTAATTCTACAATAATTCAGATATAGGCTAGGGTAGTCTACATGAGTGTGGCTCAAAGTCCAGTTACGGAAGACACCAGTGCATGACACACGCTACAGGTATAGGTACAGTACGTTACGATACTAACAACAAAACAAAACCCTTCTATACTTTCTCGCAATTACACGCATAAAACCACGACTTATACACAAGTATATATTTCATAAGGATATAGTTTATTAAATGAATTAATAAAATACAAATTATCATAATGGTTACTTTAAATAGAGAATGTCTTACATGCTCTTTACTAATAAATCCTTTAACATATATATATATATATATAACAAAACCTTTATCCTATAGTTATCTATCTATAGGAAAAAGAAGTGCAGATAGAGAATATCAGAAAGGTAAAACACTTACATATAAATTGGTCAGGTCCATCCTGTCACGAAAAAATGTCTGACACTGACTTATACAAAGAATATCCCGCCCAATAGCCCAATAGAAACAACCAATGAAATAACAGAAACTACATGACGTAGCACCACAAAGACTGACCACTCGGACACTACAATTACAGAGTACGATACAAACGAAACGAACGCGCACAAAACGTATACATTACTACATTAATACGGACGATACTATAACGGACGACGCAAGTTACGGACGCGTTACATGCTACATTAGACGCTCGGGAAAATATCATAAACTATACACTACTACATATTTTAATAAAACTACACTAAATAATGTCCCTGCTACATCATCCCCTGCTTTGTGAAAAGTCGTCCTCGACGCTGATCACAGAAGACTAGATGCTGAAACAAATAAAACATAAATCAATAATAATAAAATAGAACTAATTAAAACAAATTCACTGTCCTGAGATGAGGCTGAGTAGTGTGGAAGCGACATCAACTTCTTTTCCCTTCAAGACACTCGACCTTGTGATGGACTCCAGATAGTGAGCACGCACCTTCCAACCTGGTTCAGGCTGCTGTCTAAACTGGTATGCATTGCTGTTCATCCAAGATGGTTTTCTTCTCCCTCTCTATCTCTCTCTGTGACCGTCGTGGCCCAGTTGAAACGCCCTCTCGGATATCACAATCTGTGTCCTGGTTATTGTCTTCATCACCTCCCGTCGCAGTAGATGAATCATCCTGAAGAGCGTCCTCTTCTTCCTCCTCATCTGCCTGCTCAGACTCATCTTGGCAGTCAGTTCTGGGCCCGGATTTGTCGTCATGAACTCCACATTCCAAAACTACTATTATCTCGTCTGTCGAGAATGTCTCTGCTACATTGACGTTGTCCTCGTCTTGCGTGACAGGTGTAGTCGGAGGTTTCCTTGGTCTTCGAGGCCTTGGTACTGGTTTGTCTGATCGTCCACGTAGATAGCTAATTGGAAGAAGTAGATTTCGATGAAACGTCTTCGACCTTCCCTCTCCATCTTCCCTCTTAACTTCATACACTGGTACATCTGGGTTTGGCTTGGTGATGACTATGTAAGGATGTTCCTCCCACTTGTCAGAGAGCTTGTGCTTTCCATCGAAAGCGACGATCTTCACAAGTACTCAGTCACCAATGGCAAGGACAGCACCTCTGACCTTCGAGTCATACACATCCTTCTGTCTCATCTTCTTTCGTTGCGAGAATGCTGAAGCCAGTTCATAGACATTGGAGAGTTTATCCTTCAGGGAATCAACATAAGTCGTCAACGACTCTGATGAAACTCCGGTGTTGTCCACCCCGAAGGCTCGGTCTACTGGTAATCTTAGATTTCGCCCAAACATGAGAAAATATGGTGTGAAGCCAGTCGATTCCTGCCGGGTACAATAGGCATGAACAAGGGGACCGACGTGATATTTCCAATTCTGCTTCTTATCTTCGGATAATGTTCCCAACATACCAAGGAGCATACGATTGAACCTTTCGCAAAGCCCGTTTCCCATGGGATGGTAAGGTGTTGTATTAGACTTCTCCATTCCGTTAATGGCACACAGTTCCTTCATCAGTCTGCTCATGAAGTTGGGACCTTGATCCGAATGTATTCTTTTAGGCAATCCCTAGTGAATCACAAAGTTGTTAAAGAATACTTCTGCTGTCGTCTTCGCTGTCATGTTCCTGGTGGGAATGGCAACAGCATATCGCGTGAAATGGTCTGTATTGACGAGAATGTACTGCTGTCCTCCTTTCGAGGTTTCTAGACCAAGGAAATCAATGCAGACAAGTTCAAGAGGCTGATAGGTGTGGATGCTCACTAACGGTGCTCTTTGGTTCGCTGGTGTCTTCTTTCGCAGACATCGATCGCATCCCTTGATGTATTCCTCAACATCTCTCGTCATTCCTATCCAAAAAAATCTATCATTGTGAAGAGATAATGTCCGATCACAGCCCTGATGTTCCATGTCATCGTATACCATAGTCAGTATGGTAGACACCCTGGTCCGAGGTACAGCTAACTGTCGGTTTCCCTTCTCTAATGGTCTCCCTATACAGGATGTCATCTCGAAGACGCAGCTTCTCAAAATTCTTCAGAAAGGTGGAAAGGTAGCTGATGGTGGTAGCTCATCTCGTCTAGGCTTCTGTCCTGATCTTACTCGAGAAATCCAAAGTCCTAGCATGGTGTCATTCTTCTGAGCTTCTCTAATGCCAGGAATCTTGTATGATGATGAAGCTTCCGGTATATCATCCAGCACCTGTGATGACATAGATAGGTTGTCTGTGGCGTATGACCTTCTTTGATGATGCATTCCACTTCACTTCGCCAAACATCATAAGATACTTCCTTGGTTTGGTTACCGGAAAAGGTGGTGATCTTTGGAAAGTAGGTGTGTGACACAGCAGTTACATGTCCCAGGGTAGTATCCAATCTAATATTCTCCTTACTATCCTCAGTATCATCTTCATGAGCTACTGCTTGATCCTTCATCCACCTCTCAAATTCCTGAAGTGTGTCCAGCTTAGGTTTCACCTTTTAAAATGATTTATCAAAAGTTCAATCTCCTGATCTGCCATGTCCGCCATGTTGTAAGCTGATTCACAAGTCACAGAATTGTTACCAAACGTTATGTACCTATTACCAAACGTTGTTACTGTGACCAAACGTTATTTTACTGTTACCGACTGTTAAGTTACTGTTACCAAACGTTGTAACTGTTACCAAACGTTATGTGACAGTAACCGTACGCTGTGTAACTGTTAAAGAACGCTATGTAACTGTTACTTTATAATATGTAACTGTTACCAAAAGATGTGTAACTGTTACCGAAGGCTATGAAACTGTTACCAAAAGATGTGTAACTGTTACCGAAGGCTATGTAACTGTTACAAAAAGATGTAACTGTTACCGAAGGCTATGTTACTGTTACCGAAGGCTATGTAACTGAATGCTAATTTTATGTAACTGTTACCGAAGGCTATGTTACTGTTACCGAAGGCTATGTAACTGTTTCCGAATGCTATGTAACTGTTACCGAATGCTATGTAACTGAAGGCTAATGTTATGTAACTGTTACCGACGGCTATGTAACTGTTACCGAAGGTTATGTAACTGTTACCGAAGGTTATGTAACTGTTACGGAAGGCTATGTAACTGTTACCGAATGCTATATAACTGAATGCTAATGTTATGTAACTGTTACCGAAGGTTATGTAACTGTTATCGAAGGCTATGTAACTGAATGCTAATTTTATGTAACTGTTACCGAAGGCTATGGAACTGTTACCGAATGCTATGTAACTGATTGCGAATGTTATGTAACTGTTACCGAATGTTATGGAACTGTTACCGAATGTTATGTAACTTTTACCGAAGGCTATGTAACTGTTACCTAATGTTATGTAACTGTTACCGAAGGATATGTAACTGTTACCGAAGGTTATGTAACTGTTATCGAAGGCTATGTAACTGTTACCGAATGTTATGTAACTTTTACCGAAGGCTATGTAACTGTTACAAAAAGATGTGACTGTTACCGAATGCTATGTAACTGTATGCTAATGTTATGTAACTGTTACCGAAGGTTATGTAACTGTTACGGAAGGCTATGTAACTGTTACCGAATGGTATGTAACTGTTACCGAAGGCTATGACACTGTTAACGAAGTCTATGTAACTGAATGCTAATGTTATGTAACTGTTACCCAAGGCTATGTAACTGTCACCGAAGGCTATGTAACTGTTACCGAAGGATATGTAACTGTTACCGAAGGCTATGTAACTGAATGCTAATGTTATGTAACTGTTACCGAAGGCTATGACACTGTTATCGAAGGCTATGTAACTGAATGCTAATGTTATGTAACTGTTACCGAAGGCTATGTAACTAAATGTAACTGAATGCTAATGATACCGAAGGCTATGTAACTGTTACCGAATGTTATGTAACTGTTACCCTATGTAACTGTTACCGAAGGCTATGTAAATGTTACCCAAGGCTATGTAACTGTTACCGAAGGCTATGTCACTGTTACCGAAGGTTATGTAACTGTTACCGAATGTTATGTAACTGTTACCCTATGTAACTGTTACCGAAGGCTATGTAAATGTTACCGAAGGCTATGTAACTGAATGCTAATGATATGTCACTGAATGCTAATGATATGTAACTGAATGCTAATGATATGTAACTGAATGCTAATGATATGTAACTGAATGCTAATGATATGTAACTGTTACCGAAGGCTATGTAACTAAATGTAACTGAATGCTAATGATACCGAAGGCTATGTAACTGTTACCGAATATTATGTAACTGTTACCGAATGTTATGTAACTGTTACCCTATGTAACTGTTACCGAAGGCTATGTAAATGTTACCCAAGGCTATGTAACTGTTACCGAAGGCTATGTCACTGTTACCGAAGGTTATGTAACTGTTACCGAATGCTATGTAACTGAATGCTAATGGTATGTAACTGTTACCGAAGGCTATGACACTGTTATCGAAGGCTATGTAACTGAATGCTAATGTTATGTAAATGTTACCGAAGGCTATGACACTGTTATCGAAGGCTATGTAACTGAATGCTAATGTTATGTAAATGTTACCGAAGGCTATGACACTGTTATCGAAGGCTATGTAACTGAATGCTAATGTTATGTAACTGTTCCCGAAGGCTATGTAACTGTTACCGAAGGCGATGTAACGGTTACCGAAGGCTATGTAACTGAATGCTAATGATATGTAACTGAATGCTAATGATATGTAACTGTTACCGAAGGCTATGTAACTAAATGTAACTGAATGCTAATGATACCGAAGGCTATGTAACTGTTACCGAATATTATGTAACTGTTACCGAATGTTATGTAACTGTTACCGGATGTTATGTAACTGTTACCGAAGGCTATGTAAATGTTACCGAAGGCTATGTAACTGAATGCTAATGATATGTCACTGAATGCTAATGATATGTAACTGAATGCTAATGATATGTAACTGGTACCGAAGGCTATGTAGCTGTTACCGAAGGCTATGTAACTGTTACCTAATGTTATGTAACTGTTACCGAATGTTATGTAACTGTTACCGAATGTTATGTAACCGTTACCGAATGTTATGTAACTGTTACCGAATGTTATGTAACTGTTACCGGATGTTATGTAACTGTTACCGAAGGCTATGTAAATGTTACCCAAGGCTATGTAACTGTTACCGAAGTAATGTTATGTAACTGTTACCGAAGGCTATAATATGTAACTGTTACCAAAAGATGTGTAACTGTTACCGAAGGCTATGTAACTGAATGCGAATGTTATGTAACTGTTACCGAAGGCTATAATATGTAACTGTTACCAAAAGATGTGTAACTGTTACAGACGGCTATGTAACTGTTACAAAAAGATGTAACTGTTACCGAATGCTATGTAACTGAATGCTAATGTTATGTAACTGCTACCGAAGGCTATGTAACTGTTACCGAAGGTTATGTAACTGTTACCGAAGGCTATGTAACTGTTACCGAAGGATGTGTAACTGTTACCGAAGGCTATATAACTGTTACCGAAGGTTATGTAACTGTTACCGAAGGCTATGGAACTGAATCTATTTGAATGCTAATGATACCGAAGGTTATGTAACTGTTACCGAATGTTATGTAACTGTTACCGAAGGCTATGTAACTGAATCTATTTGAATGCTAATGATACCGAAGGTTATGTAACTGTTTCCGAAGGCTATGTAACTGTTACCGAATGCTATGTAACTGTTACCGAAAGCTATGTAACTGTTACCGAAGGCTCTGTAACTGTTACCGAAGGCTATGCAACTGTTACCGAATGCTATGTAACCGTTACCGAAGGCTATGTAACTGAATCTATTTGAGTGCTAATGATACAGAAGGTTATGTAACTGTTTCCGAAGGCTAAGTAACTGTTACCGAATGCTATGTACCTGTTACCGAATGCTATGTAACAGAATGCTAATGTTATGTGACTGTTACCGAAGGCTATGTAACTATTACCGAAGGCTATGTAAATGTTACCGAAGGCTATGTAACTGTTCCCGAATGCTATGTAACTGTTACCGAAAGCTATGTAACTGTTACCGAAGGCTACGTAGCTGTTACCAAAGGTTATGTTACTGTTACCGAAGGTTATGTAACTGTTGCCGAATGCTATGTAACTGTTACCGAAGCCTATGTAACTGTTACCGAACGCTATGTATCGGTTACCGAATGCTATGTAACTGTTACAGTATGCTATGTAACTGAATGCTAATCTTATGTAACTGTTACCGAAGGCTAGGTAACTGGGACCGAAGGCTATTTAACTGTTACCGAAAGCTATGTAACTGTTACCGAAGGCTGTGTAACACCGAAGTCTATGTAACTGTTACCGAAGGCTCTGTAACTGTTACCGAAGGCTATGTTACTGTTACCGAAGGCTATGTAACTGTTACAGAAGGCTATGTAACTGTTACCAAAGGCTATGTAACTGAATGCTAAGGATATGTAACTGAATGCTAATGATATGTAACTGAATGCTAGTGATATGTAACTGTTACCGAAGGCTACGTAGCTGTTACCAAAGGTTATGTTACTGTTACCGACGGTTATGTAACTGTTACCGAAAGCTATGTAACTGTTACCGAAGGCTACGTAGCTGTTACCAAAGGTTATGTTACTGTTACCGAAGGTTATGTAACTGTTACCGCATCCTATGTAACTGTTACCGAATGCTCTGTAACTGTTACCGAATGCTATGGAACTGTTACCGAAGGCTATGTAAATGTTACCCAAGGCTATGTAACTGTTACCGAATGATATGTAACTGTTACCGAAGGCTACGTAGCTGTTACCAAAGGTTATGTTACTGTTAATGCTAATGTTATGTAACTGTTACCGAAGTCTATGGAACTGTTACCGAAGGCTATGTAAATGTTACCGAAGGCTATGTAACTGTTGCCCAAGGCTATGTAACTGTTACCGAAGGTTATGTTACTGTTTCCGAAGGCTATGTAACTGAATTGTAATGATATGTAACTGTTACCGAAGGCTACGTAGCTGTTACCAAAGGTTATGTTACTGTTAATGCTAATGTTATGTAACTGTTACGTAACTGTTACCGAAAGCTATGTAACTGTTACCGAAGGCTAGGTAACTGGGACCGAAGGCTATTTAACTGTTACCGAATGCTATGTACCTGAATGCTCATGTTATGTCCATGTTACCGAAGGCTATGTAACTGAATCTATTTGCATGCTAATGATACCGAAGGTTATGTAACTGTTTCAGAAGGCTATGTAACTGTTACCGAAGTCTATGTAACTGTTACCGAATGCTCTGTAACTGTTACCGAATGCTATGGAACTGTTACCGAAGGCTATGTAAATGTTACCGAAGGCTATGTAACTGCTACCGAAGGCTATGTTATTGTTACCGATGGCTATGTAAATGTTATCGAATGTTATGTTACTATTACGAACGCAATATTGTAACTGTTACCGAAGGCTATGGAACTGAATCTATTTGAATGCTAATGATACCGGAGGTTATGTAACTGTTTCCGAAGGCTAAGTAACTGTTACCGAATGCTATGTACCTGAATGCTCATGTTATGTCCATGTTACCGAAGGCTATGTAACTGAATCTATTTGAATGCTAATGATACCGAAGGCTATGTAACTGTTACCGAAGGCTATGTAACTGTTACCGATGGCTATGTAAATGTTATCGAATGTTATGTTACTATTACGAACGCAATATAACTTCTGTACAAGTAAAAATTCAGTCGACACCTGTCACAGACAACACTCCGTCGTTAGACTGTAATCAATATTGTCATGTAATATTATCGCGTGATTATCGAAAGTTTGAAGGCATTCTTCTCAGAAGGCACGTGTTTGGACAGCGATTATATATATTTGAGACTTCAAAACTAGAATGTTATGAAAAGTCGAAATATATGTGATATTGACTTCATTAGTATTGAGGTTATCTGTTGAAATTTCAGTTAAGTGACTGTTCAAAGGTTACTACATCCTCGGTACTCCAGGGGTAATGCTCATTTAAGCTTTAGGCACCCTTCGGATATGTCATGACAAAAGCGAAGGCTTAGTGTGCGCCATCTTGTTATCATACCAGAAGACTAGTTTGATCCTTTTAGGTACACCAAAAGAATTCACCGACAGCGAAACGGTAAAATTGGCATGGCCATAAAGTCGGTTGTCGCTCCTCTGTAGTTGTAAAGGAGAGATATAAGCCTAGTGATTGGTCATACCTGAAACCAAGTAAAAAGAAATCCCTTTGTCTTCAATTTTGTTATGGCGTATTCCAGAGGTGCAGATCGATAAGGTAAGTGAGCAAAACCCCTGGAGTATCGAGGATGAGGTTGCCGCCATTTACATTGTGTACATATATAGACCGTTTTTGTCACTGCATGATACTTCAGTATAATCGCAAACTCTATCTTATGAAAATGACTAACGACTCAACAGATAATAATCTGCGAGTTATAATAAATCATAATGTCCCGGCATCGTTTTATTGTCTTAGAGATAAAAAGAAGAAAAAAAAAAAAGAAAAAAGTTTTATAATTATACATATGATTGGAATTATGCAGCAATTTTCACAATGGCCCCCACGGAAAAAAATAAGGTTCCATTTGTATTTGAAGCACATGATTTTCGTATATCTCTTATCTCCATTTACATTTCAAGGTTCGATACTTTTTAGGGTTGATTTTTCAAAAGTAGGTTAACAATTTTTTCGGCATTCTTATTCAAATTTTGGATATTACCATTGGTCTTCATTTTAATGCATGCAGTTCGATTTTGAGCTTACTATAGATATTGTCCCAAATTTGAAACGTTGATCAACACAATTCAATGAATCGCTTTAAGTTTGCAATTGATAATATATCGTTATAGAAGCCCTTCCGTGAATAAGATTAATTTTGTAAGGTACAAGAAATACACATATATATATATATATGTTTAAACAATTACCCTGATGAACCTCTAAAGAGGTAAAAGCTCTAGGAAGGTACTACGAAACTCTTGTCATTTGTTTTATATATATAACATGGGCAAAGAAGTAATAACGACAGTGCTGACAAAGAAATGTGTCAAATTTTCATGGCGATCTGCCTCTTTATCAAGGCAGGAACATGAAAATTTACATATCACAACGTAAAACGGAGAAAAAACAGTCACCATGCACAAATAACTGTTTTTCTCTGTTTTCTGTTGTGAAATGTAAATTCCCATGTTCCTATCTTGATAAATGGGCAGATCGCCATGAAAATTTGACACATTTCTTTGTCAGCACTGTCGTAATTACTTCTTTGCACATATGTCTATTTATCTATTATATGTATATGAATTCGGTGTACGACTCAGCATATCTACTACCGTTACAACTTTCCCATTTAAACCGCGCGTCCACTGTGTACTACTATGTGGTTTACCGTAACGACATAATTGTCCGTACATAAAAGATGACCTTGTAAACAGATATGCTATATTCAGTCTTTCGATTGAATCTAGAAGCTTTAAATACCCAGGTCTTCACTAGGTTACGACTAACGATATATCATTTCAAAAGCCTTCGAAGAAAACTAGGTTGTTTATGAAAACACATAATACGTTGGGCCATTTTGAGATTGTGTTTTGAGCTGTTTGGTTGGATTTCCATTATGTGACTGAAACCCAGTCATTGCGACATAAACATGTCTACTGGCGAGGAGATATACAGCTACCCCTGCACACAAAAACGATGTTCAGAATCACCGGGTACTTCATAGGTATGTACTCAAACTCGTTATTTTAAAATTTATAACAATTGGACAGAAACTGGTGTGAGAATTTAGTGAAAACGTTTTGGTCCCCTCTAAATCCCGTGTAATATAATTGTGCCATGAGGAGCTTGGTGCAGAGATCTCAATTAAGACCTTACTTGCCGACAGTCAGAGCTCCATTTGCTCCAGAGTCGAGGTTTGATTTCTCCCCCGGTCTCCATCAACTTTGTGGAGACAAATTGTAGGAACATTTAAAAAGGATTTCGTAAAAAGATTGGTAAACACCATTCTATGAATGAATCGCTATAGATACAAATATGTAGGTTGTAACTTATATTTACATGATTATCAAAGTTTTATAGTTCCATGTGCAAATTATCAAACATGCATGCATTTGTCTTGTATCTTGCATACAAAAATGCCCTCCATCAGTGCGAACCTACTGATGTGTAAACTAAATGAAGACAAAATGTGTGTGGTTGGATGGGATACATCGATTTCATGATATACTTATTAGTTTAGTCTTTTTTTTAATTTTCATTGTTCCATAATCTTTTATAACATTGTTCTGAAAGATGATTGTTACATTTGAACATCTATCCTTTTTTCTTACTTGTCTTATTTTGGGCTGGTTTGTTTGTGTTGCCATCACGTGACTGCAAAAACGTAATGGCTGTCATGGCGTAAATCGTTGTGTACTGTTGAATAACGTCCTTATGGGGATATATATAGCTACATGTGCCCGCGTACAAAGATAATAGTGTTCAGAGTCACAGCTTTCCCCAGGTATATGTAGTCAAAAAAAAATCTGTTTTATAACTCTTATGACTTATCAGACACAAATTAAGACACAAAAGATAATACATATTTCTACGTTTATTTTCTCTTCTGTGACAGAGGTTAACGGAGTCTTTTCCATAGAAAGCAACGCTGATCATATAATATTCCAATTTTATTCATCAATCAGGATTAAGCATAACCATGTATGGTGTTGGCGTGTTTGCTATTATTTGTCTAGCTCACAATCATCAAATGGCCGTTCAAATCGCCCTTCATTCGGGGTCCGTCCTTCGTCGATCGTCGATCGTCCATCGACCGTCCCCCAACTATCTTGTTATTTCTAATCCAGAATAAAATTTAACCTAACAGAATATTTGTATTTCTCTATTTCAGATAAATCATCCAATAGATTTCTCTTTTCCATATTTTCTTGATAAGCCAATTCATAAATTCGCTTATGTATTAAAGTTAGATGATGCACTAAATACTGAGTTCGCTGAAATGAGTACGTTTGCAGTATTAATTTAAACGTTATAATTGAAGTATTAAACGATCATCATAATCATAATTTTGTCTCTCTTAGTTGACATTAATAATTAACTTGTGATATGAAATTGTTAACTTTAATACTTTCATTTGTTTCAAATAACTTTGTATTGTTAACAGAACATCTGCTAAGACCATAAACGTAAATGTTATATTACAATTCACGTTTACAGACGTGTTTTAAGATCTTAAAATATGTTTGTTTATAATACACGAAACGACTTAAAATATATGTTGATAAGTGTATACGATCTTATCATTTGTCGTTGTTTTACACACGAGATCAACGTTAAGTGATGAGGTGGATTCCACAGAACATTCATCCGACTGTGATTGGTAAGAGTTACCTACCTTTCTTAAACTCTTTTACCTTTACATGATTACAGGAAATGTTAGACTGATCCCGTCGAAGCAGCAACAGCAGCAGAAAACATGGACGTTTCACAGCTGTTGTAACACATCAGTAAGAAAGGGCAAATGTTTGACAATGTTCTAAGGTTAGTTGTGTTAACCTACCAGGAAAACATACAAATAGTGTTTTGTAACCGAGGTAATTGTTTTCATAAACGTCATACATGTAGTCACTATGGTAAGTGAATGCAAAACGAAAGTATGAGAAAAAAACATGATATTAAACCTATGATCACAATAATTATACTCAAATTCATTGTAATACAGACATACTGTGGTATGCTTAAGTAAAACTGATCTGGTAGGATATAGTCAGTAGGATGACCAACATAACAACATACACCATACCATACCGTGAAGTCTGTGACCTTTTATAGTTAAAAGTATCTCATCCAGGCTAATGTCAGTGTAAACAATTTTTATGGATGGATGGAAGCGGTTTTGTATTCACGCATCATGAACAATGTAAGGTTTGGCCATTAAATAAACTGTCGATTTGTTTTATGACAGGATATATGTGTACAAACAAGCACGTTTTCAATATTACCAATAATAAAATATCAACCACACATATATACCCCTGAAGTATCAATGTAGTTACTAATGTCAAGTACATCCATAATAATGATATGCATTTCTATTGGACATATCACAACTAATCATGAAGCTTACGAGACTGAGCACACAAGTCAAACTTGACCAAGAACCAAGAACGGTTTAAATGTAAAATCTGAATATGCTTTGTAGGATGTTTTGACTGTCAGTCAGCCTTGTTGGCTTTGTGCTTAGTTCTGACATACTCAATGGAAATATGTGACATTATTCTGAACATTTGCAGAATATTTTTTTACATTTTTTTTTAATAATAGTCACTTCGCGGATACTTCGAAAGTACATGTACAGGTGTTTTTGTCATTAGTTGTAATTTTCAAGACTCTTCGTGTGTACAAAAATCGTGACAGATGTCACTTTTTCAGATATAAACACATATTTTTCAACAAACGGTTCACCAATGGTCATAAATAACTTGTTTATTAACAGTAGATCGTAAAATAATGAACATATACAGAATAAATTTGATGACTTAATATTTGAAAATAAAATAAGTAAATAAACCCTTTTAGATAGGGTGTGGTAACATGTCAAAATATCTGAAAATATCATTTTTTACAGATTATTCCCATGAGAACATAAAACTGACGAACAAACATCAATATTTACCTGTTTAAACATTACTCTAACAGAAAATCTTTATTTCTCTATTGCAGAGATATATTCCAATATATTTAAGGTCTGACATGGCAGTGGCTTACCCCAGTCCAGAGTTCCGCTGTTTGTTGTGCCAGGAAATATACGAAAATCCAAGAGAGTTACCTTGTGGTCACACATTCTGCTCTCCGTGTCTGACTACTTATATCCAGGCTGAACACGTATGTGCCGATGAAGATCGTCATTACTTCCCGTGTCCTGTCTGTGATAATCCTATTACCCCGCGGGACCCAAGCATACACGTCAATACCTGGGGGACTTCATTCCCCATAAATCACCTGTTCCTAAACCATACAAAACAGACATCGGATGATCAAATATGTGAAGCATGTCTGAGGGACTGGGAATCCAGTTCTGCCGAGGTCTGGTGTACTGACTGTGCTGAAATGTTGTGTAAAGATTGCAAAACTTACCATAAACGGAGTAAAGTTTCCAACAAACACAAACTTGTGCCCATTGACAGAGAGTCTGGTGGAATCAAAGGGATAATCGTCAACGATATTTGTCCGAACCACAACACGAAGCCGTTAGATTTCTATTGTGTGGATCACGGATCACTTTGTTGCAGCGACTGCCTGTCCTTGACCCATAGAAATTGCAATAATTTAAAACAACTAGACGACCTCGTACAGACAGCTACAACAGCACAGAACTACATTGAACGAGAATGGAAGGAAATACGACAAGAATCAAAGACAATATTGAAGGATGACATTTCTCAGATTAACAATACAAACTCCAAAGAAAAAAAAGTATCGGCTAAAATGACTCGTGTGATACAACAGGCTAAAGACAAACTCGATGACCTCAACGCGGCATTTCAGTCAGATCTTGCACACAAATGTAACTCGTACAGACAACAGATAACCTCTCGACTGAGATGTGTTAATGAATTTAACACCAACGCTGAAAACTCGCGTCTACTAATGTCGCGCTTGGAAACACAAGGATCTGCTCGACAGACGTTTATCACAAGAGAGCAAACAAAGAATCAGTTGTCAGGACATTATCGTCGGATGGATCAAAACACCAAGGAACTGCCTAATACGTTTGACATTACACTGAAGATAGGACAAATCGTAGACAAAATCATGAAAGTGACGACCGTTGGTGCTGTTGATGTGACCTCGACCATCTCACTGACGTCACAGAATGCGAATGCGTGTATCGGCTCTTTGCTTGAGACCATAAATTCTAAGCCTCCACCTGTTACGTCTACGGATGTTTCCTCGGCGTCTGACCTTACAGATTCCCTTCAGCGTATGTCCGTCATTTCACCTCCAACAGCTGCATTAGTGGATGTCTGGGAACGTTCAGTATCCTGTGTACGAACAGTGCATTGTAGTACGCTGGGAGGGTCTGTCCGTCCACTTTTGATAAGTGGACTTTTTACAGACAACGGACAACTACTTATCACAGATAGAGATAACAAAAGACTCTTGTTGTTTGATGACAACTATTCCTTAGTCAAGGAATACAATGTTGATGGCAAGCCAGTAGACGTCACACATGGACGTGCTACTGATGAAATATTTGTGAGTTTGTACGAGCTCCAAATACTGAAGTGTACTCTACGGAATGGCCAACTGTCCGTGACCAGGAGGATCACGTGTCCACTTGGAACATTGGGAATAGCAGTTCACGGAGATGACATCTACGCCGGCACTCATAAAAGTGTGGAGGTTTTGTCTATGGATGGAGAGGTTATTCGGTCAATAACGAAAAGTGGAGGTGACACGCACCTTGCTCTATCGACATCCAAGGCCAGATTGTATCACAAGGATAACAATGATATATTGTGTAGACGACTTGACAATGACGCAGTAGTTTACAGGTATAAAGATCATTGTCTGGTCTATCCTGGAAGTATCGGACTTGACCGGAATGACAATGTATATGTATGTGGATTGATCTCACGCAATGTTTACCTGGTTTCACCTGACGGATCAAGGGGGAAGGCACTGCTGACCAAACTGGACGGTATCAACAAACCATATGGTATCATAGTCCACCCCACCAAACAGGAGTTCGTTGTAACATCTTTACACGAGTCTGTTTCGTTCGAGGTGTACCGATTCAATAAGAACGCTTAGATATTACAATAAGAATCACAACACAGAAATTAACCATACTTTACTTTAACTTGACAGTGTAATAAAAAAGTGGACCGTCGTATGTTTACATTTTCCAACGTGAAACTAAATTTGTAAAGACAGGCAGCAAATACTTTGCGATACAGATTTTTTGTATAATGTACATATGTATGTGGCCTTTAACACATGAATAATGTAACGATATATTTGAAATCGAAATATTCTACTTTGCACAGAAAAGATAGCATATGAGGCACGTTGTAATGTCTACCTGTTTGTATTGATTGCAAAATCGTTCATTACTTCGGATATCGCCTTATTTAGAAACTAGTATGATTTGTTGTAAATACTTTTTGGATTCAGTTCACAAATCGTACAACTCTGCGGAGATAGCCACCTTTAGAAACAATATATCGGACATAATGAGAAATGGCATGATACGGATCGTTTCAAAACGTAGAAAGAATATATGCTGCAGAGTGTATAAAGATCAGATTTAAATTATCATTCTATTGTATTAGATTATATATATATATCATCGTTTAAATAGCATGTGATATGTAGATGTTCATGTTCGCATAGTCTGTATGTACCTACGGAAGACTGCGTATAACATTTAACTGCAGTACTTAATATCTCATATAGTCAACACGATCAATAATATAAACTTTATACAGATTGTATAATGGCTGTTCTAAAGGAACTTCTGCATACTTTCAAAGCTTATCTAACAAATAAACGCCAATGATGACCTCAGAGTCGAAAGAATAATAAAACTGAGGAGGTGTCACCATAACCACCTGATCAGTACCGACGAGGAAGTGTTTCCATACCGCATGTGGCACCCTTCATCGTATCTGAAAACAAAGTCAGGAAATTATGATAACCTACGGTATGGGACACGGTAAGCATATTCATAGACATGAAATTCACAATATTCGGTTCTACTGCATCCAAGCTGTCGGGCAAATATGAATGTCTATTTCTTGCGTTGACCTCCACCAGTGCACCCCATATTTGCTAGTAATTTAGTGGGTCACTGACCATCTACAGAACCAAAACAATGCCAGTAAGTTTTAAAGGGGAGATGCGTAACTCGAACCTGTAATAATTTCTTAACTTAGCAATAACCATTGAAAAAACTTGTCTATCAATAAAGCTTAATAATCATTCTTCATTTCATCAAACTCAAGTTAAAATTAGAGTCAAACCAGAAGATCTTTTGCAGTCAATAACATCGTCATTGATATTTCTCCAATATTTTGCTGATTAAAATGTCAGTCGTCTATAACAGACCGTGTTCAGATTGATATATTAGGTTTGTTACGATATTTAATTATTTTTCATTTTGTACTTTAGGTTTGTTTTGCTTTGTTTGGACTTTGAGTTAAGATTATGCCTTTGTGTATTGGCGATGCGTCCTTGTTGCAATGTATTTTGTAAATATAAAAGTATTCAAACGCATCATTTGTTGAGAGACGTTAAGCAGAAATAAACTTCCATTTTGATAAATAATGATTGCTGTTATTTTTAACGAAACATTGAAATCTGCTTGAGAAGTAATGAAGCCATTGTTTTTATTTTCTCGTTTTTATAGACCCTATCGGTTCCCGAGGGGGACGGGGGGTGCGGAGGGCCTGACTATAAGTTTGCACTCACTCAGTCCGTCCTTCCGTCCGAGCAGTTTGTTTTAGTCCCAGTCCGAGTGCAAAAAAGAGGTGACTATGACCAGACTATGACCTATGCTTTGACCTTTGACCTTAAGTTTAAAACAAATTTGGTCGGGCCATATCTTCTATACTATTGTATCTTGAGTAACCAGATTTGGTGTACAGGAACATCTTGGGAATAGGGCACTACACTCTCATTGTGTCTTTGACCTTTGACCGTAACTTTTGAAACATTTTGTCCAGGGAATATCGTCTGTACTGTTTACCCTGGAGTAACCAGATTTGGTGTACAAAGACATCTTGGGATGGCGGAGAGGAAGAAGTATGTCACTTTGACCTCACTGTGACCTATGCTTTGACCTTTTACCAGGACTTTAACAAAACAATGTTATCATTACAAAGATGCCTTCAATGTTATCTTATGTAACAGGATACTTTCCTAACAGTAGGTACATTCAGACATAAGTGTACTATTTGTTAAATATAGAAATCATTTCCTGTGGGGCACTTTGGATTGCCTTGCAATACTTTGCCTTATTTCTCTAACATAAATGAGTTACGATTAATAACATGACAATACATACTGTTAATTCAGATAGATATATATAGGTTTATCTCATATTCAACATGTTTTTAGTGTCATAATACTTATTATATAAATTATGTTAAGAACTGAAGTTTAATCACTCTTAGCGGATCTTTGATTGGTTGTTACTGATTAAATTACGACTACATTACTTCCATGCGCCATACACTTCCAATTGTATTGTTGTGTCATCGAGAAATAGGTTTGAAATCGATCATTTTATTGCCAATCAGTTCGTAAGTTCTTTCCACGAACATTAATACCAACTAGGTTATATATTAGAAAGGATCCTAAATACGTTTCCATTTCAGATGAATTTTATCAAACTTGTCATTATTTTAAGTGTAGATTGCTAGGGGCTCCCTTTAAAAAAAGCCTCGTGTCATCGATATCAATATATGACATTGATTTACTTTGTGTTAATCGCATCCAATTACAAAAGGTTACCTCTAGCGTAAAAAGAGAGTCCATCCTCGTTCTATATATAGATCGGAATACATATGTACATGTATGTATGTTTTCTTTTTTATGTATTTCTAAAATTGTCAGCTTTATGTCATACAGTTGGACGTTACAAAGTTACGGATCAAGAAAAACATTTAAAGACTTGATCAGGCAAACGATTCGACTGGAGGATTTTAAAGATGGTGTCTATATTATGCAATCTGATATATCGCTCATAGAACATGCCATCTAGAACTGGGTAAAATGTTGTTTTTGTCGACTTTTTATTTAGATTGAACATTTGTCAGCTAGTTTCATACTTATGTCGGTTGGTTTCCAGAATTATCAATTATCAATGTAGGAGGAACAATGATGCAGGTTTTAATTCCAATTACCGTCAAAATCGCGAACGGTTTTCGTAAGTGTACGTCAGTTTGAAGATTGATAGAAAATTAGTGTCCGACATATTTGTATGTTAATTTACGGCATATTGATTCGACATGGAACAAAACTGTCATTGCCCATGCGATACGGCAATTAACAAGTAGCAATTTATTGCAAATTAGTATCTCATGATGTACCACAACTTGTACAACACTGTACACAAATGTCTGTCAACAGGCACTGGTTGCAAACGATCTGGTTCATTTGGGAATCTTTAAATCCAGTAAAGTTACAAGATATTATCTCTAGTGTGGCCTGCCATGCAGTTTATGTCGCTTCGCTTAGTACCAAGATGAGACCACAACAAAGCCTTCAAAAACTATTCTTGATTATATATACCATGTCAGTTCAACAAT